GGACGTCCCCCGACCATCCCCCCCTAAACATTAGACCCCCTTCTTTTGACCTTAGTAACACCTTCGACATAGTCACCCCCGAAGAACTTAACAAAGCAATCGACTCCTGTCCAGCGCATTCGGCGACCGGCCCGGATGGCATCCCTTATACCTCTATTAAAGCAATAGTCAAAGCAAACACAACTCTAATCCAAGACATGTTCTCCGCTATGCTCCGGCACGGCGTACACCCAGCGGAATGGAAAGTAGCTAAGTGTATCCCGATCCCGAAACCCGGTAAAGCAAATTATTATGAAGCAAAAGCCTACCGGCCCATTTCCATTCTACAATGCTTTAGCAAAATCCTGGAGAAGATAGTGGCCCAAAGACTCTGCACCGCTGGGGAAATCCTAGGCACACTCTCAGCAAACCAATTCGGAGGAAGACCAACCATCTCGGCAATCGACGCCCTCCTGAGAACCTTGACACCAATACAACAAAACCTACTACTGAAAAACAGCACCGGAATCGCCCGGCGAGATAGACCAGCGATCCTAACCAACGACATCCAAGGAGCATTCAATTGTGTCGACCACCTACTCCTCGCGGAAATCATGCATCAACAAAAATTCCCCACCTATCTGACAGAATGGTGCAAGGAATTTAATACCGGCAGAAAACTACAGTTCCAATTCAACCATGAACTAGAGGAACCACAGCCCTATGATTCCGGAGTGCCGCAAGGTAGCCCCATGTCTCCGATACTATTCATGATCTATGCCGGAGTAATTCTGGACCCAACTAGCAGCCCAAAGGAGATGGACACAACTTACATTGATGACGATGCGCTGGTGCAAATATCCAAAACACCAGGCTTTACAATCAAGAGAATGGAGGAACGAATGAGAGAAAGACTAATTAAAGCTGAGCCACTCCAAATTAAATACGACCCCGATAAATCCGACCTGATCTTCTTCCGGCCCACTACATCATCCACACAACAACCACGACTTCCAGTCAACGTTAATAACATCAATATACATCCCAAGGAGAGGCTGAAATACGTAGGAGTCTGAATAGATCAGACCCTCTCCTTCCGGCCCCATATCGAAGCAGCAATCGCAAAAGGCCTAAAAGCCCTCCACCAAATCCGAAACACCGCCCGTCTGTCAGGGATAACAGTCAAGACAGTTCATCACCTAATAACACAAGGCTTCCTTCCAAGCCTACTCTACGGATCTGAGGCTTGGTGGACTGGTGCAGACCACATCATTAGATCGCTGGAACCACTATACAATGAAGCAGCCCGGATCATCACGGGCCTACCTCGATGGACCAAGAAAGCTAAACTCCTCCGAGAAGCAGGACTACCCCCCCTAGAACACCTCCTAACATATCGCTCAAGAAAGTACGGAACCAGAATACTCTGCACCGAGGCAACCCACCCCAACAATGAGTCCCGGATCGAGCTCCTCCCATACAGAGAAGCAAACATCAAAGGGACAGGTCTACACCGAATCGCCTCCCTTCTACTCCCATACCAAACCTCCGGAAATGCGAGAGACAAGTGGAATCAAAACAAACTACTACGCGACCACCTGTTGGAAGAATGGAATACACAACCAATACCGGACTACCATCACCGGGGGGATTTCCGCCCCCCTTCCAGGATTGCCAAACTCACCCTAACGGAAGCGAAAAGAATTTTTCGAATCCGGTGCCAAACTACCCGAATCGATAAACACGCGGTACATACAGACCCCGAACCATGCCAGTGTGGTATGGAAAACTCAGCGAAACACACACTTATGGAATGCCCAGCGTGGGCTCGAATCCGCGCCCCCCTGATAGAAAAGATCCCCGGAGCGATGACCTGGGAAAACTGGATGTTTACAAACTTGAAAACGGACCTTATCTTACAATTTGCAAAAAATTCTCAACTCTCGAAGTGGTACGAGTCGGCGGAAGCGGAGGCGGACCTAGAAGAGGGGATGGAAGAAAATGATTAGGGACGGGATTAGGAAGGGTGGTTTCCTTTTACCTTTTTAACTTTGGTTTTAATTTGTTTTGATGGATCCAGCGCCCGAGTTCCCTGAGATATGTTATTTCTCCTTGTCGATAGGTTGTTTCTGGTTGAGTGTCGCTCTGGAATTTCCTTACTTTTGTTTGTGTTTGATTGTGTTCGCTTTTGTTCTTGTTTGTTTGTTTGCGTTTGTTGTTTCTTTTCCTTTGTTCTGTTGTTCGGTTTGTGTTTTAGGCGGTTGGGTCGGCGTGCGATAAGTCTTGTACTTCAAAGCAATATAAGTTTCTTCTTCTTCTTCTTCTGCATTCTACCCGCTCGCCTCTGGCTCGCGGTAGGATTTCTTCCCCCCGAGATGGTGTTATACTGATTCTCGAATTGCTTCGGTCCCTGAACTTCTCTCGCTCGACATCCCCCATTCTTTGCTCGTTCGGTGCCCTCACGGGACGCGTCCACCGTTCACCCCTCGCCAAACCAGCGGCTACTCTCGAAAGCCGCCTTCGCCCCTCCTTATCTTCACTCATCGCACGAGTGATCCCATACATCGGGTACGCACACTGTCAGTAATCTCCAGTCAGCGAGAACCTACTGCCAAAGCGCTCGACAGCCCGCGAAGTTAGCGACCTCTCGGTCGCGAAACTATCGTCAAATTTTTTACCCGAGGTCCCGTTACCTTACCCCTCTTTATCGGCCTTAACCAGGCAACCCTTTTTACCCGAGGCGGCCCGCTCCCCTCACCCCAACCCAACCGGTCTCCAAGACCACCCTCAATACAACACGGTCGGCACTTTCAATTGCGACCCCCATACATACTGAGCCTTCGGCTCAACCCTTTTGCATGTCCCCTCCAGAGGACACCACTTCAAACACGACTCGGGCACAGTCTTTAGCCGTTGCTCCAGGGACCGACGACCCCACCCACTCCTTACTTGACCAACCGGTCACCACTCCTCAATTCCTCGCTGCCTGACAACCAGAAGCCCGAGGACCCACATTCGACCCACCCCCCCTCGCTTTCATGGATCGACTAGTAGAGGTACGGGGTTATGAAGAGTCGGATTAGTCAGAAAGGTTCTATTGGGTTCTACCGGGTTCTGTTGATGGTTAATGTATGAGTCATGTTGGATTTGTCATCGCCGGGATTTCCTTGAGTATATTAAGGGGGGTTTTGTTTGTATTTTGTGTTCTTCTTCTTCTTCTTTCTTTACGCAACGTCTTCTGTATCTACGCTGTTTTATTGCTATACAATATCACCGTCCTCTTCTTTCTTTAAGAAGACCACCGCCTCGCTTTCTTCGTGCCCCGTCGAACCTTACCAACGCTAGAGTCCCGTAGTACCCCTATTGCGAGTTCCCATACCGTCTCTTGTTATCCTCTTCGTACCCTGCGGAATACTCGCTACTCACTCCCTTGAGATTACGTTGCGTCGTCATCCGCACCGTACGACATGTCCACCCCCGACCCACCTGTATGGGCCGCACCCAACGATGTAGAAGCATTCAGACAGATGTATGAGGCCGACTCTACTGAACTATTCGATAACATCGCCACCCTCGTCCAGCGCGTCCGCCTCCAAAGGGACACCCTCCATGCACAACTCACCGCCGCTAATGAAACCATTGACAACCTCGAGGAGCAGATAAACCGGCTCAACCTCGATCTCAATGTCGCCCGCGCTGCCCCCGCCCCTACCGTCGCTGTCCCTGTTGCCGCTGCTCCCCCACCTGCTCCTGTCCCCGCCTTCAGGTCCGAAAAGTTTCCAGACCCTGAAAAATTCGATGGCACCCGCACCAAGCTCCCCGGATTTACCACCCAACTTCGAATGAAACTTGAAGTCAACCACGATCGGTTCCGAAACGAGGCAGCAAAGGTTATTTATGCCGTCAGTCGCTTGGAAGGAAGGGCCCTTGACCAGGTCGTTCCACTCGTTAACGCTAACCCTGCCGCCCCCTTCTCCTCCGTCACTGCCTTTGTTGCCCACCTGGAAGCCTCGTTTGGAGACCCAGACCCCCGGGGTACCGCCCGTCGCCAACTCGTTGCCCTGAAGCAACGCAAAGGGGACTTCGCTACCTATTATTCGCAGTTCCTCCGCATCGTGGCATACCTGGACTACAACGAGGGAGCCAAGATCGACGCCCTGGCCGAAGGACTGTCAGAAGACCTGAAGGACGCTACGACATACCGGACAGACAGGCCTAACACCGTCGAAGCCTATGCCACCATGTTGATGACAATCGATAACCAGGTTCGGGGCCGCAAAGCTGAACAACGGGCCATTCGGAATACAATGGGACAATTCACCGCCCCCGCTGCTGTTGCACACCCATCTCATACCGCCGGAGGCCTCGCCCCAATGGACCTCTCCGCTCTCCAAAGCCGCCCCACTCAACGCCCTGCCATTGAACAACGATACACCTTTGTCAATGGACAACGCAAAACCTCTGCCGCTGAAAAACAATGGCGAAGGGACAACAATCTCTGTATGTACTGTGCCAACCCCGGTCATGTCTTCGCCAACTGCCCCTCTGCCAATCGCCCACGCGGTAACCAACCGGTTATGAGAGGCACCCTCCTCGCACTCAGCCATAAGGCCGTCGACCCCGCTGCTCCACCGGTCGCTAGCCCCGCCTCCTCTGAGTCGGGTTTTCAGTAGTCCCGGGCTTGATTAATGGCCCCTGCCCGGGACCTTCCAATGTTTCTCCTTTGTCTGCGTGTTCTATCTCTGGCTTCTCGGTATCCTCTGTGGAGGATAAATTGGATGGGTATCATTTTGTTGCTTCGTGTAAAATTATAAACAATAAAACATCCATTCAAACTCACGCACTGATCGATACCGGTTGCTCCGGATTCGCATTCATTGATGAAACATTCGCGCGCCATAACAACTTCCCCTTTCTCCCCCTCAAATCACCCCGCACTCTTGAAGTCATTGACGGTCGGCCCATATCTTCCGGACAAATTACCCACCTTTGCTATCTGCCGCTATCCATTGACTCCCACCATGAAACTACCCCCTTCTTCGTTACCAAATTCGGCTCGTACCCACTCGTCCTCGGAATCCCCTGGCTTCAATTGCACGACGCAACATTACGGTTTAGGGACAACAGCATACTGTTCGACTCCGAATACTGCAAACGCAAATGCAACTCTTCCCCGATACCCGTTCCCATTAGAGGGGTTGCACCACCGCCCCGTTTTCACCTCGTCAGTTCAGCTGCTCTTTGTCGCTTTGCTCGAAGAGACAAACTCCAAATCTTTAGTACAACTATTGAGGAAATAGATCAAGCAACGGGCAAGGCCCCTAAGCAAGACTGGAGGAACCGGGTCCCAACCCGGTATAAGAAATTTTATAAAATGATGGACGAAGAATTCGCTAACGAGATGCCGCCTCGCCGCCCCTATGATCATAAGATACCGCTCAAGGAAGGGAAAGAGCCCCCTTTTGGGCCACTTTATGGTATGTCCCGCGAGGAACTCATCGTGCTGAAACAATACATACAGGAAAACCTTCAAAAGGGGTTCATTCAGGCCAGCTCTTCGCCTGCCGGTGCCCCTGTCCTATTTGTTAAAAAGGCCGATGGAACACTCCGCCTTTGTGTCGACTATCGTGGCCTCAACGAACTTACTGTCAAAAACCGCTACCCGCTACCACTCATCCGGGAAACTCTCGACCGCCTTTCCAAAGCCAAGTGGTACACCAAGCTTGACCTTCGTCAAGGGTACAATCAGATCCGAATGGCTGAGGGTGAAGAATGGAAAACAGCCTTCCGAACGCGTTACGGACATTTCGAATACACCGTAATGCCCTTCGGCCTTACCAATGCACCAGCCACCTTTCAACATTTCATTAATGATTGCGTCCGTGATTACCTTGATATGTTCTGCACAGCCTACCTTGACGATATCCTTATTTACAGCGACACCTTCGAGGAACATCAAGTACACGTCGAAAAGGTCCTGGAAGCCCTACAAAGAAATGGAGTACTGCTGAGACCGGAGAAATGCGAATTTCATACACAAAGTACCACCTATTTCGGCCTGATTATCGAACCCAATGGTATCAAAATGGACCCAAGGAAAGTGGAGACGGTGAAGAATTGGACCGTCCCCAAAACAGTTAAGGATGTACAAGCATTCCTAGGTTTTGCTAACTTTTACCGCCGATTCATACGCGAATTCTCGGAACTGGCTTCTCCTCTTACCAGGCTGACACGTAAGGACATATCATTTGGATGGACATCCGAAGCCCAAACCGCCTTCAACGCCCTGAAAGAAGCCTTTACCACGGCGCCCATTCTTACTCATTTCGACCCGGAGAAGGAAATTACTGTGGAAACCGACGCATCTGACTATGTCTCTGCCGGTGTACTCTCCCAATACGATGACGATGGTATCCTCCGACCTGTTGCATACTTCTCGAAAAAACACTCCCCCGCCGAATGCAACTACGAGATTTAAGACAAGGAATTACTGGCAATCATTCGGTCTTTTGAGGAGTGGCGACCGGAACTTGAAGGGGCTGCACACCCAATCGCCGTCATATCCGATCATAAGAATCTCGAATACTTTATGAGTACCAAACAACTCAACCGGAGACAAGCACGGTGGGCAGAATACCTGTCACGGTTTAATTTTGTTATCAAATACCGACCAGGGAAACAAGGAGGGAAACCGGACGCGTTGACAAGAAGATCAGGAGATCTCCCCGGAGAGGGGGATGAAAGACAATTGCATCAGAGTCAAGTTGTGTTGAAGAAGGAGAATCTCGATGCAAAGCTAAGTTTGTTGGCGGGTTCTTTCTCAAATGAGCCCGCTGAAAAGAACGCCTCACTGCAGGAATTATTCGATGAAGGATATAGCGCTGACCCGTTTCCCCAAAAGATACTGGATATGCGGAATAAAGGCGACCGACAATCAAAGGACATATCACTTGCCGAATGCGCCGAGGTTGAAGGCCGATTGCTTTACCGAGACAGCATATATGTCCCTGATTACGACCCTCTTAAGCTTCGAATCCTCCAACTTTACCATGACGCTGCCTCTGCTGGACACCCGGGATGCGAAAAAACATTTGAACTCATCAGTCGGGACTACTACTGGCCCCTCATGCGAAATTATATTGCCCACTACGTTCGGAACTGCCACACCTGTCAACGAAGCAAACCCAACACCCATGGAAAACTCGGCGTACTTCGACCTTTACCGATTCCCGAACAACCATGGCAGGAGGTATCGATGGACTTCGTTACTGGCCTACCGGAAAGTGAAGGGTACGATGCAATTATGGTAGTGGTTGACCGGCTAACAAAGATGCGACACCTCCTGCCCTGCAATACCACTGTCAACTCCGAAGACGTCGCCCGACTATACCTGCGAAACATATGGAAGCTCCACGGGCTACCCACACACGTCACCTCCGACCGCGGTACGCAATTTACAGCTAAGTTTTGGAAGGCTCTTTGTAAACACCTCAATATCGAGGCAAGGATGTCCACCGCCTTCCATCCGGAGACCGACGGCCAAACCGAAAGGCTGAATGCTGTGATGGAGCAATATCTACGTGGGTATGTCTCTTATCAACAGGACGATTGGGTAAAATGGCTTCCTATGGCAGAATTCTCCGTCAACAATCAGGTCTCCGCATCCACTAAAGCTACACCATTCTTCGCGAACTATGGGTTCCACCCCCGGTTTACAGTGACGATCAAATCGCTTGACAGGACCCCACCGAGTCTCAATACGAAGGACTTCGCCTCGAAGATGAGAGAACTCCATGAGCACCTACGTTCCAATATCCGCACAGCGCAGGATCAACAAGAGCAGGCCGTCAATACTAAACGAACGCCGGCCCCGTGGTACGATGTCGGCGATATGGTGTTTGTTTCAGCAAAAAACATCCGAACCACGCGTAACTCCCGGAAGCTGGACTGGAAGAAACTGGGACCGTTCCCCGTTAAGGAAATTATATCGCCATATGCGTACCGAGTCGACCTGCCTAGAAGTATGAAGGTGCACCCCGTCTTCCATGTATCATTGTTGGACCCCGCTGCGAATGATCCTGTTCTAGGGCAAATTCAACCACCACCCCCGCCCATTATCGTCGAACAAGAGGAGGAGTATGCAGTTGAGGAAATCTTGGACTCGCGAGAATTACGGAACACTGGCCTGCAATACTTTGTTAAATGGACGGGCTATACCGACCCTACCTCGGAACCCGCCGCATACCACGATAATACCGCCGCCGTTGATATCTTCCATATACGCTACCCCGACAAACCTGGACCATTGGAAGGAAAGAGTAAGATCAAGGCTCGCAGGAGCTCGCGCTTGAAGGGAGGGGCTACTTTCATGGATCAACTAGTGGAGGTACGGGGTTATGAAGAGTCGGATTAGTCAGAAAGGTTCTATTGGGTTCTACCGGGTTCTGTTGATCGTTAATGTATGAGTCATGTTGGATTTGTCATCGCCGGGATTTCCTTGAGTATATTAAGGGGGGTTTTGTTTGTATTTTGTGTTCTTCTTCTTCTTCTTTCTTTACGCAACGTCTTCTGTATCTACGCTGTTTTATTGCTATACAATATCACCGTCCTCTTCTTTCTTTAAGAAGACCACCGCCTCGCTTTCTTCGTGCCCCGTCGAACCTTACCAACGCTAGAGTCCCGTAGTACCCCTATTGCGAGTTCCCATACCGTCTCTTGTTATCCTCTTCGTACCCTGCGGAATACTCGCTACTCACCCCCTTGGGACTCGCTTTCACACCTGACACTGTTGCGGTTGGCCTCTCCTGTCTTCGTGCGCGTGGTTTCCCAGTCCTGTTAAGGTTCGTCCACAGATATGACACCGGGAACGTTGGTAATGATATCGTTTCGATTGAACACTACGTTTAGGATTGTGCTCGCTAATGCAGTTGACGGAGAAGTTTGGGGTTCTTACTTTTTTACTACGGGGAGGTTTCTTTGTTGTCGCTTAGATTCTGCTTACCTGTACCACTTGTTATTCGCGCCCTCTTCGTGCGCTGTTTCCCTTTTTATGTACGTATTTCTCGTAGCTGCGGTAGTTAGTTTTTTGTACTTCGTTTTTGTTTTCGGGTTAGTCGGTGGAGGTTGTAGTCGGGTAGTTAGGTGTGCGATAACCTTCGGCTTCTAAGCAATATAAGTTTCTTCTTCTTCTTCTTCTGTATTTATTCCACGAATATTACTTTTGTTCTACGCTACGTCATAGGGCTCATCATGGATCTCGGATCAGGATTGAACCACCTCATAGTCTATAGTCACGAATCTCTCGATACTAAGTCTTTGCCTCGGTTGTATTCCTTGGCACTATAGTCCCTCGTCCATAGACCCAGGTTATACGTAGGTTGCATCCTCTATCGCCAACCAATACAACATCATAGTTTACAATGTCGGAACATGCATCTATTGATTATCAACAACTCAGCAATAGTCTCCAAGCCCTTTTTCAAGCGCATCCACAGGTCGATGATACTATTGGAACTGAAGCCTCTGCGCTTCTCCAACAGTGCCAACATGGTCTTGCTCAATATGCAACGGATTTACAGGAGGTAGAAGCGGAGGCCGAGAGGGCGAGGAGAAGGTTTGAGCAAGATCTTGCTGCTGCCCGAGCTCAACAGGCTTCTGTTGAGGCTGTCGCCCCTGTGCAAGCACCCATCGAAGACAATGTTCCACCTGCACCCCCAGTACCACCCGCTACAGATACTACCTATCGGTCGGAGAAGCTCCCAGACCCTGAGGTATTCAAGGGGGATCGTGATCGAGAAAGGTTACACCTGTTTAAGCAACAAATGAAGATTAAGTTATTGGGAAATGCCGATCGCTATCCTACACTACAGTCTAAATTATCCTATGCATTCAGCAGATTGGAAGGCGTTGCCGCCAATCAGTTTTTCCAATATGTCGGTGAAGAAGGCGTTGCTTTGCCCTCTATGCTACGATTTCATGAGGTTTTGGATACTGCTTTTGGGGACCCCGATCGGATGCATACGGCTAGGAGGAACCTCCGGAACATCCGTCAACGAAATCGAACGTTCGCCGAGTATTTTGCTGAATTTCAACGGTATGCTGCTGAGTCGGGTATGGATGAAGTCTCTCGGATTGAGGCTTTGATGGAAGGTATTAATATGGAACTCGATGAATCAATGATACACCATGAAACTCCTGCGACGGTAAATGCCTGTGCGACACTTCTGCAACGGTTGGATAATCGTCGCCGAGCGGCAGAGGCTAAGCGAGGAAGTAAAAAACCTTGGAATACTACTACTACTCCGGCTGCTCGTCCTTTACCAGCAAATCCTGTTTCTGCTCCCCGTGCTGCCGCCCCAGTCGCCAATGCACCTGTTACTGAAAGTCATCCCTCATCCCACCCGGGAGGTGATGTACCAATGGATCTATCTGGAGGACGTCGTCGCCCCTCCCCTACCCAAAGAAATGCCCGCTTAGTTGAGGGCCGATGTTTCTATTGCGGAGGTGTTGGACATATGGTTAGTGATTGTCCCCAAGCGAAGGCAACTGGAAATCAGTCTAGGAGACCTGTAATGAGAGGAGCAGCATTGACGGTGGAGGAAAATGATGGAAGCGATAATGAGTCGGCAAAAGATTTGTCCCTGCACTAAGTGGCTTAGCTCAGGGACCGTTTAAGGATTTTTCTAGGATGTGTATTTCTGGTTTTTCGGTATCAGAGGAGGAAATGGATGGAAACCAACTTGTAGTAACTTGTTCGATTTCACAGAATAAAAATTCTTTCATCCCCACCTACGCTCTTATTGATACCGGAGCATCAGGATACGCTTTCATTGACGAATCTTTTGCACGCCACAACAATCTTACAATGACCCCCCTTAAAATACCTCGCCATGTAGACGTTATAGACGGAAGACATATCAAATCAGGAAAAATCACCCATATTGTCGATGTCTCGCTAGACATTCACGGTCATCGGGAAATTGCGTCATGTTTTGTGACAAAGTTAGGACACTATCCAATCGTAATGGGGATACCTTGGATGCGACGTCATGATGTTACAATTCGACCAAAAGAAAATCTACTTATTTTTGACTCTCGGAACTGTTGTCAACACTGTTCACTTAGTGGAACTGCAGTTATTGCTCATGGCATCTCGATTCCTTTACCGGAACACCATACAGTTATCGTTTCAGCAACCGAAAAATCTACCATCAACATTGAAGAGCTAGTACCGAAGGAGTTTCGCCATCGTCTCCATATGTTCGAAGAATATGACGCTTCAATTCTTCCACCACATCGACCATCCCATGATATTGAAATAGTGTTAGAAGAAGGCAAACGACCACCATATGGACCCATATATGGACTGTCTTAAATTGAGTTGAAAGCACTACGGGAATATCTTGATGAAAATTTACCTAAAGGATTCATTCGGGCTAGTGAATCACCAGCGGGAGCACCTATATTGTTTGTGAAGAAAAGCGATGGAACCCTTCGACTTTGTGTCGATTATCGAGGTTTAAATGCAATCACAATCAAAAATCGATACCCGTTACCATTGTTAAAGGAAACCCTAGCCAAGTTGTCAAGAGCACAATACTATACTAAGTTGGATTTACGTTGGGGATATAATCAGATCAGAATAGCAGAGGGGGATGAATGGAAGACGGCATTCCGGACTCGATATGGACATTTCGAATATACAGTAATGCCGTTTGGATTAGCTAATGCCCCTGCTACATTTCAACATTGGATCAATAATATCTTACGTCCCTATCTCGACCAATTCGTAACGGCATACTTAGACGATATCCTTATCTACTCCGAGACTCTATCAGAACATAAAGAACACATCTGAAAGGTTTTAAAGGTACTTGATGAGAATCATGTTCACCTTAAACCTGAAAAATGTGAATTTATGGTACAAGAAACGAAATATCTTGGCTTAATCCTTACCCCGAATGGAAATAGAATGGACCCAAAGAAAGTTATCGATGTTTTGGAATGGTCTACACCGACGAGGCTTCATGATGTTCAAGTATTTCTAGGATTTGCAAATTTCTATCGACGATTCATTCTCGGATATTTGAAAATTGTTGCTCTACTTACAGCCTTGACCAAGAAAAACGTTAAATTCGAGTGGACAAATGAAAGGGAGGAAGCATTTCAAACTCTGAAAAAGATGTTTACAACGGCACCGATATTAGTTCATTTTAATCCGGATCGAAGGATTGTGATAGAAACCGATGCATCTGATTATGTTTCAGCAGGAATCCTATCTCAACGTGATAACGAAGGAATCCTACATCCAGTCGCTTTCTTCTCCAAAAAACATTCTCCTGCAGAATGCAACTATGAAATCTATGACAAAGAACTTCTAGCAATTATACGATGCTTTGAAGAATGGCGACATCACCTGGAGGGAGCCCAATTCCCAATTGAAGTTTTTAGCGACCATCGGAATCTTGAATATTTTATGACAACAAAATTGTTGAATCGTCGACAAGCCCGTTGGTCCTAATTCCTTTCACGCTTCGATTTCGTTATACAATTTCGGCCAGGAAAACAGAGAGTGAAACCAGATGCATTGACTAGAAGGTCAGGTGACCTACCTAAAGAGGGGGATGAACGGTTGACGCATCAGAGTCAAGTGATTTTGAAGCGAAAAAATTTGGATACAAAGCTAAGTTTGTTCGCGGGTTCTTTGTCAAATGAATCCGCTGAAGGAGCGTCCACTGTAGAGGAGTTATTTTCAAAAGCTTACCAAGTTGATAGTTTTCCAAACGAAATCCTCACCATGCTTCGGAATGGCGTTCGCCATTCGAATAAAATTTCACTTGCCGAATGTATGGAAGATAACAACGGTCGACTACTTTATCGAGGTGCACTATATGTACCAGAAGACAATGATCTTCGGCTAAGGCTCATAAAAGAACACCATGACAAACTATTGGCAGGTCATCCAGGTAGAGCAAAGACCTTAGAACTCCTAAATCGAGAATATTATTGGCCACAGATGCGAAGATATGTCGATCAATATGTTAGGAATTGCAATGTGTGCACCCGTAGCAAGGCACCTAGAAATGCACCTTATGGGGTACTTCGTCCGATACCAATACCTAATGGACCGTGGACGGATGTGTCAATGGATTTTGTTACCGATCTTCCTGAGAGTGAGGGATATGATGCAATCTTAGTCGTGGTCGATAGGTTAACCAAAATGCGACATTTGATACCAACAACCAGAGAAGTGGATTCAAGGGAAGTAGCGAGGCTATATATCGATAATGTTTGGAAGCTACATGGATTACCAGATACTATTGTATCCGATCGAGGAACACAGTTCGTTGCAGAATTCTGGAGGTCGCTTTGTAATCGCCTAGAAATATCACCAAAATTCTGTACCGCATTTCA